GCGCTGGATCAACCGCAGAATGTTGCCCCGGTTGATGTCTGCAATAAACTATATTTAATTGAAACTAATCAGAAATTTTGTTTGCTATTCCAAATATTTATTTTCACTTCTTGTACATCAAGATAAATTATTCAACTTTTAATTTCAAATTTTATTTTGTATTACCACGGCTTTGTAAACTAAAATTTTGTCCCTCGACAGTATATGTTAATAAATAAATATATTAATAAATTAAATATGGTATTATCAATTATAATATTTAAAAAAATATTAAAGGTATATTATTAACAATATTAATAGTCAAGGTATATCAGGTGGCTATCAGCACCACAGACAGCGGCTATCAGCACCACAGACAGCAGCTATCAGCATCGCAGACAGCAGCTATCATCACCCCATACAGCAGCTATCAGCACCGCAGACAGCGGCTATCAGCACCACAGACAGCAGCTATCAGCACCGCAGACAGCGGCTATCAGCACCGCAGACAGCGGCTATCAGCACTGCTGACAGCAGCTATCAGCACTGCTGACAGCAGCTATCAGCACCGCAGACAGCGGCTATCAGCACCGCTGACAGCGGCTATCAGCACCACAGACAGCGGCTATCAGCACCGCAGACAGCGGCTATCAGCACCGCAGACAGCGGCTATCAGCACCGCAGACAGCGGCTATCAGCACTGCTGACAGCAGCTATCAGCACTGCTGACAGCAATCAGCACCGCAGACAGCGGCTATCAGCACCGCTGACAGCGGCTATCAGCACCACAGACAGCGGCTATCAGCACCGCTGACAGCGGCTATCAGCACCTGTGATGACGACGCTGTCAGCCGCCATGGCGGCGACGATGGACGTCAGTCCGACGCCTGACGCGACCTCCAGCACCCGCCGCCCCCGCACGTCCACCGCGTCGGGGGCGCCCTGGTGGGGGGCGGCGCCCCTGCAGGAGTGGAGGATAAAGTCTGCCAGGAAGAGCGCCCCCCGCCCTGTCTCTTATACACATCTAGATGTGTATAAGAGACAGCTCCAGGGCAGATAGCCCCACTCCAGGGCAGAAAGCCCCACTCCAGGGCAGATAGCCCCACTCCAGGGCAGATAGCCCCACTCCAGG